CCCCAAAACCCCAAAACCCCAAAACCCCAAAACCCCAACAGATGTTATTAAATCAATAAATTTGAAAATTAAAATTAGCATCACCTTAATCCTAATCTTTATTATAGTATCAGTTCTTATTGATTCTCTATAGCAATTATATGATATCTTTCTAAATCTTGATGCTGCATTAAATTGTATTCCAGTCCTCAGGTATGTTAAAATGACTAAATATTTTCGTCATGTCAGGAGGCTCATTAATAATATGCCCTTAACCATCTGGCTTGTTATTCTTAAAGTTTCCTTCAAAATACTTATTCCTATCTGAGTAAATCAAATATGCCTAGCCCTGCTTATTATTATTAGTCCAGTTTCCTATATAGAGCTATTTGTTCTCTCTCATCATTAGCGTTCCAAATCCATCTATTTTGTCATCATGAAATTCTCCCTTGAAACTATCTCCGTTAGAATACTGAATGAAGCCAGTGCCTTCTTTACGATCATCTATCCATTGGCAATCATAAATATCTCCATTTGCTTTATATAGGATACCCTTTCCATGCATTTTTTACTCACTATAAAAATGATTAAAAAGATTCAAGCTTATTCTTACTCTAAATCGCCTTAATAAATATCGCCATTTGGATGTATCAGCTTTCCGTAAGATGTCTAATGCCCACTATCAAACTAACCTTCAAAAGTTATACCCTTATCACCTTTAGAAAAAGACTTGAAAGTCAATTTACCTTTTCCGTGAAATGCATCATTCAACCATTCACCATCATAAACGTTCCCATCACTTAAAACCATAGAGCCTTTAAGTCTTTAGTCATTTTTCCAAAGGCCTTTGTATTCCTCCCTGCCAATACTCCAAGCCATTTCACCATATCCTTCTCTTTTATGATTTCTAAATTATCCTATATAAGTAGCCTCTTCGTAATATTATGGATCAAGATTTTTGTAAATAAGTTTACCCTTCCCACTAAAAACTCCATCTCTAAACTCTCCTTCATACTCATCTCCATTTGAAAAACTAGCCTTGCCATAACCATGAAGTTTACCTCTTAAAAAATATCCGCCCTTTTTCTTATCATTCGCAAATAAATTATCATTTTTGTCTCTTAATTTTCCATCATAAATCTCATCATCTTTGAATATTCCTTCAAACTCTCCACCCCTATGGAAAAACAATTTACCTTTGCCTTGTCGTTTATCTCTGATCCACTCTCCTTCATAAGTATCGCCATTCAAAAAGTAAAATTTACCAAACTAACCTTCTCTTTTTAGCTGAGCATTAACCTTTCCCTCATAGATCTCTCCATTCTAGTACTATATTTTAACTTGGCCTGGAACTATATGGCCGCTATCGAATTATCCTTCTATGATGAGTGAATCAGGATCCCCACTCATCTTATAGATACCTCTTCCATGAAACATATCGTTTTACCAGTTGCCTCTAAAATATCTACCATCTTTAAAAAGAATTGATCCAGATCCATGCCTCAGATTCTTTAAAAATTATCCTCTATAAATATCTCCATTATGATAAATCATTCTTCCTATTCCGTTTCTAAATCCATCTTAAAAATTTCCCTCATATTCTTGATTTTTAATGTTCCAAGGTTGAACATCATTTTCGACCTCTTCCTCTATATGATCAAATCCATTTATGCTTTTCAATAGATGCGTCTCATTGCTAAACATAAATTGATTCAGTACAGCCCCAGGTTGTTCCTATCTTTTTTTCTTATTTTTATAATACTCCTTTTTAGGGTCATATTTGTCACTGCTAAGTAGAGACACACTGCTCTAAAAATCCATAACCTGATCATTAGAGTTCCAATTTAAACTAGATTTTTCATGGTTGCTATTATTGTTATTTTGCATCAATTGTATTTAATGATTATCAGCATTATCAGAGCTCTGTCTTCTTGAGTTAAATGCAGTTGAGAGTCTCTTAATTTTTACATCTTAAAACAGTCTTGAGTTATTGCCCTTCGACATCCGTGAGCCTTATTCAAGTCCAACATTTGATTTGAGTTAAGAGTTAGAAATAAGGATGTGATTTATGTTATTTGTCAAAGATTTATTGATGCTATGATTGCTTAACTTTATATCACTTACAGCATTCAGGTTATCTTTCATTGCTACTTTAGATGTATTGCTTAGTTTTCTTTAATTCCATATTGTATTTGTTTATTCTATTATTGATGAGTTATGAATATTTTGGTATATCGGCTAAATAGAAAGCGGGGCTCTAACAAAGCTATTATTAATAGTCTGATATGTTGTGCGTGAAGCACTATTTCTCTACCTAAGTTATAAACCATTTCCAGTAGATGGCCTGTTGACAAAAAATTATTATTGCTACTTTTCAGGGGTGTTTCAGTGTGAATTATTAGAACTATTAACTACAGAGGAGAATTTTTTAGAGTTAATAGTAATTTTGTTCTCTTTTTTATGATTTGACAGTCTGATTTTAGTCATAAGCATAGATATATGATCATTATACTTCTATCCTTCGTCTGCGTAATTAGATCTCAAATCAAGTAAATTCTTTGGAGTCATTGTCATAGTCTAATTCATAGAGCTAATATAAGCCTGAGTATCTATATTGACAGTCTTATTCAATTTATTATTCTAATCTAGACTCTTTAAAGTAAAGGAATGTGACTGAATATCTTCTTCACCAGCTTTGCTCTGATGAGTCACAATTTACCTTATCAGTTTTGTCTGTCTTTAGCCAGATTGATTAGTTCTGGCTGTCATTGTGTATAAAGATTTAACTGATTCTGCAAAAGAAACTCTTGAAAATTCCTTATAATCTATATATTAATATTGGTATAGCATTTATTTACCTTTCCTCTGATCAAGCAAAGAATTGTCATTAGATAGCTGCTGATGAGAAGAATTAGCATGATCTATTGTTTACAGACTTCCATTAGATTTCTTATTAGTCGTTACTCCTTTCATTAAATATAATTCTTTTATTAATTAGTTCGCTGTCTTATTTTATTTTTCATTTATGAAATAAAAAATACAATTTGTTGAATCTATATA